CTATTGCTCTCCCAGTCGATTTCAGTCCCGTACAATGTCGCAAGCCGTCGTTCCTGGTCCCGTGTTGCAGCCCGACGTCCCACGCGTATCTCCGGTCCCGTTCGATCCCGATCCGTTTTCTGAGTTTTCCCGAGAACGGTACAAGGCACGAACTTCTCGTCACGTTAAATCTAATATGTCGTTTATGTTATTCGATTACTTGATATGTGAACGTGATTTTCGTCTATGTAGAAAAATATGCCTATGACTTTTTATGTGTTCATATAATAATATGTATAAACGAGCTCTTCGAGTTTGAGAAATCAAACGAAACCTTGTCAATTCGTGATTAAGTTGTTGTGGATTGAAACCTTATGGAATCCTTGGACTTATGGTGAAGATCTAGGACGATTTCGTCGTAAATCGAGTCGTTTATGAATTTATGATCGGTTATGCTCATTGTTTGGGTGTTTGAATTTTTATAAATTATATACTGATCCGATTGCTATGAAATATTTACTGTACATGCCTCTTGTAAACATATAGCTCATGTAAAAATTTCAGAAATTTCGGAGGTCTGGAGCTAATTTAAAATTTATAGTGATTTCTGGTCAGATTCATGTTTAATTCTTAATAAATTCTGTAGTACTCCAAAATTTATGAAATTTTAATGTGTTGTCCATTTGCCTGACTTGGTTGATGTACAAAATTTTTAAAATTTTTTGATTGATATTGATAGGGTAGATAATTTGTTTACGGTTTCTGCTGAAAAGTATTTTAATTACGATAAATTGGTTAATTGCTGAAAAATTCTGATTTTTGGCTGAGGCGCTTGTTTTATATGTAGTTTCATGCTGTTAAAGGATTGGAATTTTTGGATTTCAAAATTTTTTGATTTTAATTAAAATTCGAAGGCTACAGATAAACCGTATGAATTTTTATAATTCATGTATTGGATGTTAATGGCTGAAATATTTACACACTGCTATTTATATGCTAAAGTTCCTTGGATAAATTTTTTATAGGCTAATTCGTTCAATTGGCCAGGTTGTTAATTTATGCTCGTTCTTGCCTTAAACTTTCTCGAATTTTATAAAATAACATACTTTGAGTTTGGGGCTGAAAATTGGTAGTTATACTATGTTCTGGGAGGTGACTTTTCGTAATATCCCGTCATGTTAGTAATATAAATCATGCGTTTAGTTTCTATATAATAATATTATCGATTATTATTTTCAGCATTAATTATTTCAGTCGAGAATATCCGAGATTATTTTCGAAGTCGCGTTTTCGTTCGAAATAATTTTGGTATTAATTATTGAGCTTAATCAAATAATTAAGCACTTAATTATGCTTAATTAAGAGTTAATCTAGCTTAGCCACTAAAATGTCGTAGCATTTTAAGGAATTTGTGCAAAATTCTTAACAAGTGCCGTAAGCATATTTGGGTGGAATTCAAGGGAGACTTATCCCCATTCTTAGCATGAGGTGTCACTACTTTCGGTATTAAGTGATGACTAAGTGAGTTAGGGGATGATTAGTCATCTTAAGGCCTCAAAACTTTAGCAAGTGGCATGAGATTATTGGCTAATAAATTTTCTCCGCCTCTTCAACTTTTCGGCCATCATTTAAATGTGAAACTTAGATGAAAATTCAGCATTATATGTCCATGTATTAGTATAGAGAGAATAGTGAGAGTTTCCCTTAGTGAGAGTAAGTGCACGCGGAGCTTAGTCGCAAGTACGCGCGAGAGACACCGGCGCACGGAGGCGCACGTCCGAGCTAGCGAGAGAGGTGTAGTTTAGCCGAGCGTTCGAAGAGGTAACCTCGGTTTACCTTCTCTTGATGTTGTTAAAAATATGTTAGATCAGTTTTGTTTAAGGCAAGCTCATGAATTAGTCTCAAGTTGCTCTCGACCGTACCATGTTAATCATATCGAATAAGTTCATGTTTAATTCGAAACTCCCGAACAATTTTCATGTATTCAGCTATTAAATGCCATATTATGTTCAGTTTCATCATGTTGGTCGAGAGATTTTCATGTTTGGTCGATAAGTTGGCCAAGGGACGTGGGTTGCGCACGTAGCGCATGCCACGGGCCGTTCATGATTATGGTCATGTTATTCAGTGATCCTTCGAGCATTTCATGTTTATTTGACCAGTAAATATTATTTCATGTTCAGTTATGTGGTAGTTGTCGAAGAAAAATTAAGTTTGGTCGAGGATCGGCTTAACGCCGTAGGCGGCGCATGGTGCGCACGTCACCGGCCACCGTAGCATATTGAGCAAATTCATGATTTTTGAGTATTTTCAACAGATTTGATCACGTCATGATATTTCATGTTGTTTCATGTTAAAACGGTCGGGAGAAGTCGCCGGATGGCCGGCAAGGGCTGGTCGTGGTCGCTCTGCCCGCACACAGCGGCAGCAGCGCGCCGGCAGTCAGCCAGTGCAGACAGGCAGCGTGTGCGCATGCCCGCGTGATGCGGAAGTGGGTTCCGAGCCCCGACGACAAGAAGATCCAAGAGGCGAGGCGACCCAAAGAGGCTGGAAAAAGGGCCAAAACGACGCACCCATGGCCATCGGGCGAGTGCTCGAAGGAGGTCGGCGAGCACTTGGAGTCAGCTGGCGACGGGGGTGCGAGTACAAGCGAAAAGCGCGCATCGTGCCTTGATGCGCGCAAGGGGTCGAATAAGCGGAGATGTGCACGCGAGTGCACGGTTGACGACGGTGGTGTCGAAGGGCGTGCCTCGGACGCTGGGGAGACGCACGAGGCGCAAGGCAGTTGTGCGGGCGAAGCAGGAGCCGGTGGCGTGCGCGGGACTCGCGTATGTGGCAAGGACGCGCGGGGTTTAGGCAGCGATGATGAGGGGCGCGCGACAGCGCGCAAGTACGAGGCAAGCGCGGGCGAAGGCCTAGACCGCGTAGGCATAGGAGTACCGGACTACGACTGCGGGGCGCTAGGCGACACACGCGAGGAACAATTCAAGAACAAGGGTGCAAGACTAATCCTCGTAGGAATAGGCAAGGCGCAAATACTAATCCTTGCAGGAATAGGAATAGCAGTTAAGTGCCGGAATGCACGTGGGAGATCAGAGACGGACGTAATCCTCGGAAGATCAGGAAACGTAACCGAGAGCCTATTCCTAGTAGGAATAGGAATAGTGGATATGGGCTCGAGGCATGGTCCTACAAGGAATAGGAGTGGCGCAGCAGGCGCGCGAGACCTAGTCATCGAAGAACTAGGCGTACGGTACGGGCGCGCGAAGCCTAGTCCTCGCGGAACTAGGCATGGCAACGGGACGGCGTACACGCGCTGGCGGGACACGGCCAGTGCGGCAATAGCGAGATGGCGCGCGCGTGCGGGGGCAGCGTGCGGGATGCCTAAACACGGTAGGCGTAGGCGAAAGCTGATGGGGTGCACGCGCAAGGGCGAAGTCGGCCCGGGCTGGGCTTGCGCACGAGCGTGCGCGTACGACGCGTGGAGGGCGTGCAACGTGAGGCGGCGAAGGATTGGGAGACTTGAGCATTCTAGAAGTACTTGGAGTGCAAGGCAAGGAATTGGATAGCAAGTCAAGATATTAGGAGATCTACTAGATTTAGGAAATTATGGTAGTAGGATATTTACTAGCCTTATGATTTAATATTTAATTATTTATTTAGTTTCCTAGTAAGATTAGATCTAGAGATAGTTGGTATCTATAAATACCCCATGTACCTCATCATTATTTTATGTCTTGAATTGAGT